AAAGTGAAAAGCCCCAGGGTATTCTGCAATCCCAAAAGATACTTAGCTGGGAAACAACTGGCTGTCGGGGGCCAGTCTCAACACCTCTGAGCTGGTGACAGGCTTGAGCCTGGTTGATTCACTGTGGTTTAGGGGCTCATTTTTCAGATGTGTTTGTGTCTTTACCAGTTAGCACTGCACAGAGGAAAAACTCTCACATCCTGTAGCCTCAGACCTCTGTAACATCTCGGCACTGTCTGAGGGTCTATTCTGAACTCACGTGTGATGGTGTGGGTGGGTAACTAGGTCCTTCCTGGCACCCGGGACGCGTCTCAAAATCACACGCATCCTCGCAATGGTGGGTGGGTAGCACCAGTCTTTTAGGGACTAGGACAGTGGATTACTCGGTTGTGATGACAAAGCTCACAATCCTCCCAGGCAGGTTCTTATGACCACAAGAGAAATGGTAGACCTGGTCATTTGAAAAAAACAATGGGGGAAGGAGAAAAAAACAACGCCTCAGAGACAAGGGCTACAGGAAACACAAAGAAAGAGACTGATGTGTGAAAATAGTCATGGATGAAAAAGCTAGAGAGAGCTCAAGCTGGCTCAGAGAAGAGGCGAAGTGAGGAAAAGAGAATCGTCCAAAGATTTAATCTGCAGCAAAATCTAGGCCAAAAAAACCTACCCTTTATCAACAGTTGACCCAGCAGACTACGGAATGGTGATGTGGGCATTCTGGAACCTCACAGGAGGGACTCAACGAGTTTGCCAACCACCCTGAATCGGCCTGATGGTTACGGAATTGCATCATTAGGATGTCCAGTTCAAACCCCTTGTGTTAATAGTGAATTAGGCTTTCCAATTTAATATTAAAAAAAAAACTCTCCCCCTCCCCCCCCACCCTTCTCCAGCCCCACAAAAAAAAAAACTTTTTTTTTAAATTTAAAAAGAAAAAGGCAGCTCTGGGCATTTCACTTTATCTTCCCCCACAACAAAAAGGAAGGTGATAAGCACAGCAGAGGTTGGAGATGGAAAACACCCTCGGGCGAGTTGCTGCTTCGCATGTCTGAGTGTTGGACAGTCCCCT